GGTGCAGAAGGAAGTGATGGCTCTCACTCAGTAAGTGGAGCTGCAAGAGGTCCGGGTGTGGTTGGGTCATATGGGGATGGTTGCTGTCTCCCACTCAGGTAGACAAAAACAACGATCAAAAAACCCTTAAAAAAGTAAAAGCAAGAGGTCAGAAAACACACACCACATAAACATACAGGAGCAGTCACCAAAAAGAAAGAAAAAAAAAGTAAAAGCAAGAGGTCAGAAAACACACACCACATAAACATACAGGAGCAGTCACCAAAAAGAAAGAAAAAAAAAAAAAAAAGGAAAGGCAATGAATTAAGTAAAATATTTAAAGAAATGCTTTAAAAAGCTAAAAGAAATATGAATAGAAAAGGGGGAAAAGAAAGAAACTTGCAACATCTGGGGAGGTGAGAATAAGAGAAAAGAGGTAGAGTAAAAGAATAATGAAGAAAAACATGTAAAAGGAAAAAAAGGAATGGGAAGAACAACTAGAAGGAAAAAAAATGGAAACCAGGAATAGGGAAGAGAGAAAATGCTGAAAACTAGAACCTAGCTAGGGACAAAGAAAGAATAGTTATAAACATGACAAAAAAAAAGAAAAAGAAAAAGAAAAAATATATATATGACAATAATTTTAAAGCAGACAAAAAGAAAGAAACTTAAAAAAATCTGGGTGGGGCAGGGCACCCAGGCTCTGTCAGAGCATACAGACTAGGATAGAATTCCTACTTCCTCAGAAGATGGGTGGGAGTGAGGGATGGCTGCACTTCTGTACACCAAGAGAGTGTGGGGTATAAGAGTAACTTGGGGAACATTGCACCTTTCCAGTCCTTGTTATCCAGAATGTCCTTGCAGTCCCAGAGAGTGAAGCCTATTCTTAGGTTCCTGGAATCTGAGAGAACACTGTCGCTTTAAATACCCAAAATGGTCAAACTGCTTGTAGACATTCAAAATACCTGCACCCTCTGTACAGCCAAAAGTCCACAGCTCAGCCTGTCTCCCTCTTCACTGCTGCCCCTTTTATTCACCCGCCACCACTGCAGTCCTCTGTGCAGCCCCTGACTAGCAGTACCAATTTTTAGGTTAATTCTTAGATCCTAGCACCACTTGGCACTATCCAAGCTGTCCATGGCATCAGGATTGCTGACAGTCCACAGCTCTGTATGTCTCATTTTTTGGTGGTTTCATGCAATTTCTTTTACTAGTTGGAATTTAGTCCACTTCTGTATCCTCAGAGCTCCAGGATTATCTTCTGTATCTGTGTTAATCGATTCCTCTTTTCTTTCTCGAAGAGTGTCTGTGTAGTTTGTTTGCCTGTTCCGGCATCTTACCAGAACCTCCTGATACAACCATTCTTGAAAACGGTTTGGTGCTTCCTTAAAATGTTGGAAATAGAAATACTCTTTGCTCTAGCAATCCCATTCCTAGATTTATATCCTAAACAAGAGAGAACCCAGACACAAACAGATGTATACCCATGTTCATCACAGCGCTATTTACAATAGCAAAAAGATGGAAACAACCTAAGTGCCCATCAAGAGATGAATGGATAACCAAACTATGGTACATACACACAGTGTAATACTGTGCAACACTGAAAAATAACAAAGAATCTGCAAAACACCTAATAACACGGATGAACTTGGAGGACATTATTCTGAGTGAAATAAATCAATCAGAGAAGAACAAATATTGTATTAGTCCTGTTGTAAAAAAATCAAGGGAAGATTTACACATACAAGGAAACTTTCTTTGTTGGTTACCAGGGATGAGAGAGGCAAGGACGGAAAATTGTTTGATATGTAAGAGATAAGAAAATTGCTAGATACGTAAGAGGGTGAAAGGAAAGGCAATACACCAAAAGCGAGTGACCAGCACAGTAACACAAAGGAAAAAGAAGACAGAGAGAGGTATACAAGAGGTACAGAAAACAAAAGTAAACACTTTTATATAACAGTATTACATTATCCATAGTAACAAATAACATAATAACAAACATAGGTAGACAGGCTAAATGATCAGGTATGGGTAGGCAAAATAGAATATATCCATGGAGATCTGGTGGCATAGTCCCTAAGGCATTTGACTGCTAACCAGAAGCCTGGCAGTTCAAACCCACCAGCCACTCTGCAGAAGGAAGATTGGGCAATCTACTTCCATAGTGATACCACCTCAGAAACCCAAGGAGGGGTTGCTGTGAGTCAGATTCAACTCAGTAGCAGTGAGTTTGTTTGTTTGTTTGTTAAATATAAGTTTGGCAAGCAATATTTCTACGTACATATTTGTATGTGCTATAGAAACGTCCGTATATATAATAGAGCTAACAGTAGAAAGTTAATGATAACTTACTAGCCACAAGCAAACTGAGGGAGTGAGTTGCTGGGCCCACAAGCTCCAGACCAGACCATGGTCGAGTGGGATGCCAAGTTTAATTGGCATAACATACTACACCAAAACATTGTTCTACATCCTACTTTGGTGAGTAGCAACTGGGCTTTTAAAAGCTTGTGAGCTGCAACAATTGATCTCTCCTAGTCTGGAGCACTGGTAGCATAGTGGCTAAGGCACTTGACTGCTCACCAGAAGGCTGGCGGTTCAAACCCACCAGCCACTCCTCGGAAGGAAGGTTGGGCAATCCTACTTCTGTAGTGATACTGCCTCAGAAACCCAAGGAGGGGTCGCTATGAGTCGGGTCCGACTCGACAGCACATAACAATAACAACAACAGTCTGGAGCAAAGAAGAATGAAGAAAACCAAAGATGCATGGAAACAATTAGGCCAAGGGACTAGTGGACCATGTGAATCTCCAGCTACATGAGCCTAGACCAGAAGAATAGATGGTATCCGGCTACCACTGTGAGCAACTCAGAAAGAGATCAAAATAGGAGATCCTATATAGAGTGAGAGAAAAATATGGAACAAAACATAAAGACCAGGCTTACTGGTCTGACCAAGATTGGTGAAACCCTCGAGACTGTGGCCCCTAGTTACTCTTCAGGCCTGGAATTGAACTCATTCCCATAGCTTCCAGCCAAACAATAGACAGGCCTACAAGATGAAAAATTATACCAGATAAGTATATTCCTTGAACATTCAACCATGGAATATCAAAAAAACAGCATTTGTGCAGGGAGCTAGCTCCAAGGGCAGGAGTGCGTGGGAAAGAAGGACATGGAAAAAGTAACCATAGTGCATAAGTGAGAAGAGAGCTGTTAACGTTATAGGGAATACAATCAGTGTCATGAAACATAATGTATATTAACTGTTGAATGGAAAATGAATTTTCTCAGTTTATCCAAATCACAATTTTAAAAAAAGAAGAAAAAACAAATAATGTATTGCATTGAGCACTTCTGCCCCCCCCACACACACACATAACACACACACAAAACCAAACCCACTGCCATTGAGTCGATTCCAGTTCATAGTGACCTCCATTGGGTTTCTGAGGTGATAAATCTGTACAAACGTAGATTACCCAGTCTTGCTTCTATGGAGTGGCTGATGGGTTTGAACTACCAACCTTCTGGTTAGCAGTCAGATATCTTAGGCACTGTGCTATCAGAGATCCTTTCTGCTGCAAAAGACCTCTTTAAAGTGTGAAAGAGCAAAGATGTCACTTTGAAGAGTAATGTGTGCCTGACTCAAACCGTGGTATTTTCAGTCACCTCATACGCCTGGGAAAGCTTGGATAGTGAATAAGAAAGATCAAAGAATTGATGGATTTGCATTATGGTATTGGTGAAGAATATTGAATATACTGTGGACTGCCAGAGAAGATTCTGGTGGTGTAGTGCCTTAGGCATTTGACTGCTAACCAGAAGGCTGATGGTTCAAACCCACCAGTCACTCCTCAGAAGGAAGGTTGGGCAATCTACTTCTGTAGTGATCTCACCTCAGAAACTCAAGGAGGGGTCGCTATGAGTCAGGTCCGACTTGATGGCAATGTGTTTGGTTTTTTTGGTTTATGGACTGCCAGAAGAACAAACAAATCTGTCTTGGATGAAGTACAGCCAGAATGTTCCTTAGAAGTGAGGATGATGAGAACTTGCTTCTTTCATACATCATGTTGTCAGGAGGGACCAGTATCAGGAGAAAGACTTCATGCTTGGTAAAGTATATGGTTGGCAAAAAAGAGGAAGACTCTCACTGAAATGGATTGACACAGTGGCTGCAGTGATGTACTCAAGAATACCAACAATTGTGAGAATGGCGCAGAACTGGGCAGTGTTTTGTTATGTTGTACCTAGGGTCACTATGAGTCAGAATCAACTTGACAGCACCTGCAACAGTAGCATGCCTAGAATAGTAGTTTTGGACCAGAACACAAAAGGCCTTAAATGTCAGTTTATAGAGTTCAGGTTAATTCAACAGATAAATATTTAGCTTTTCTTTTTGGAGTGTTATAATCAAAGCTTTCAAAAAATTTTTTGAGTTTTCTAATATAGAAAAGGCTTAAGAACAGTGGAAACATTGAGTCAGGAGTCATTATCAACTTGATTTATTTAAACTAAAGTACTTTCATCTCAAATACCTGCCTTTCTTGCCTCTTAGGCTTATTGTGAAATCCAAATTAGATAATGTACTTGAAACACTGAGAAAACTGTTAAATTCCTGAAAATATGAGGTTATATCTAACATTTGCTAACTTTATTCAAGAATAATAGACCTTAAAAATGGAAAAAAAAAAATACTCAAGAATAATTTGTTCTAAGTTAATCCAAATACATAGTAATTAGAATGTCTGTGAACAGAAACTCTTTGTTCAAAGTAGGCTAATATGGTCAAGTATAGTAGGGATTGTGAGGATGGCACAGGACTGGGCAGTGTTTCGTTTTGTTGTACATAGGGTCGCTATGAGTTTGAGACGACTCAACAGCACATAACAACAAATACTGTCATACATGTTCAGCTTCATTCTCCATCTTGCCCTCCCACTTATTTGTATGCTGACATAATTATGCCAGTAATTTAAAAGTTATTCCAACAGAGAATTTATTTTCCCCTTTAGAATCAAAAGCCTACTTCAGAAGAGATCACCATGATTGCTGATCAGCTTAATATGGAAAAGGAGGTGATCCGTGTTTGGTTTTGTAACCGCCGCCAGAAGGAAAAAAGAATCAACCCACCAAGTAGTGGTGGGACCAGCAGCTCACCTATCAAAGCAATTTTCCCCAGCCCAACCTCACTGGTAAGAATAAAAAGTCAGGGACACAAGTTCAAGGCTTTTACAATTTTATACATAACCTATTAAATCAATATATCTTTAAATGGCAATTTATTGAACATATATGTGTAAATTAATATTTTCGGTGTTATGAGGTCATGAAATATTATGTTAACCCAAGAACTTTTGGTGTTTCTTACTTCAATGTGAACAGTTTTAATTCTTTCCTACTTCATTGTTGTTTCTTTGTTCTCCTCTGTAATACCATTTATTAGGTTACTTTGTAACCATGGGGAGTAAATTTGCTACTAATTCCAGTTATCTCAGAAAATCTTTGGCTGCATTTTTATTCATGTGAGATCCTAAGGCCCAGTTTATTGAACTTGTACTTACATGATTAAACAATGGTAAACTCTCAGATAGCCTTATTTAGCGCTGAACTTGGATTAAAACCATCATCTCCAGTCTTTCAAGCAGTATATGGCCTTTCATATACAACTTCATGAGTAACTTCTGTTTGCATTAGACTATTATTCCTAAACTGAAGGGACATACAGTGGTCATGTAACTCCCTTGTTCTTTACAATGGTTATAAATGTGACTCCACATGGCCAAGCAAGATTCCAAATATGGGAAAATTGTTGTGTTTTCATTTCTGTTCCTCTCTTATTAATTATTATTATTATTTTTTTTTTTTTGCTTGAATACCCATTCCATATGGAAGGCTTTTTTAAAGCTAAAATGAGCATTGAAAACACATTAATTAGTTGAAAGATTACTGAGTACCACAAATGGTTTGCAGTCAACTACTAATCTAAAGTTGCAGGCTTGAATCCACTCAGGAGTGCCATGGTATAAACACCTGGCAATCTGGTTCCATAAAAATTATGGCCAAGAAAACCCTGTGGAGCAATTCTACTCTGTAACCATGGTGTCACCATGAGTTGGAATCAACTCAGTGACAAAGAAAGAAAAAAATAAATGAGTAAAGGTTATGGTTGTGAAATGGTGGTGGCTTTAGTCATAAATTTCATGAGATGGTAGTTATGTTATGAGTAACATAGTCATTAGATGCAGTTTTGTTTTGTGTAGATGAGTGCTTTGTGTTTTCCATATATTTGTACTAGATGGAAGACAGTATTTCTTATAAAATTGTGGACATTTTTTATTTCAAAAAGAAACTTTCTCAGTTTTTAAAAAATTTCCCTAACGTTCTTTCCATAATACCATTTCGCTACTACACCAAAACCAAAAAACCAAACTCATTGCCATCGAGTCAATTCCGACTCATAGCAACCTCCTTTGGGTTTCCAAGGTGGTAAATCTTTACAGAAGTAGATTGCCCAGTCTTCCTCCTGAGGAGTGGCTAGTGGGTTTGAACCGCCAGCCTTCTGGTTAGCAATCAAGTGCCTTAGGCACTATGCCACCAGAGCTCCTTTCACTAATACAAAAACCAAACAAACAAAAACAAGGTAATCTTTCCCACCCTGCCCCACATAGTAAAAAGTAAAAGTAGTGCGAGAACCCCAGATTCCCTAACTTTGTAGAATAGTCTTTTGCTAGCATAAAGTTGATTATTGGTTATGATCTTTCTTACTGAATTAGAATATGTATGATTCAACATTATTGAACTTTTGGGGTTTTTTTAATTCTTTCTTTTTAAAACCTAAGACAAAGCTATTTGTGCTATCAGGTCTTATACCAACTTCTAACAAGTGACTCTAGTTTTCTCAGTTCCAGTATCAGAAAATGATTATAAAATCATTTTCCCTTAGACCATTTTAATCTGTTCTATTTTACATGAGATTTTAAAATAAACTTATAGACAAAGTAAGTCTATAATATGGGCGTAAAAGTGCTTTGTGTATATTTTCATTTCTGACCTCTAGGTGGCAACCACACCAAGCCTTGTGACAAGCAGTGCGGCAACTACCCTCACAGTCAATCCTGTACTCCCTCTAACCAGTGCTGCAGTTACTAATCTGTCTGTTACAGGTAAGCAGCAGGTAGGCTTTGCAGCTGTTAGAGCAAATAGTAGGTCCAGAATAGGTTTCTAAGAGAATCATCATTAAATTGCATAGATACATTGTTTTTAAAAAAAAAAAAAACACCAAACTCACTGCCATTGAGTCATTTCTGACTCATAGCAACACCTGTTTGGGTTTCCTTGGCTCTAAATCTTTACGGAAGTAGATCACCCCATCTTCTTCCATGGAGCAGCTAGTGAATTTGAACCACTGACCTTCTGGTTAGTAGTCAAGTGCCTTGTCACTACACCAGAAGAGCTCTACAGATGTATTGCTTAGAGGGGAAATAAAACTTACATATGAAAACCTAAATTTTGAAAAATACTGATTATAATTAATTTTGTCAGAAAGGATAATTTTACCAAACAATTTTCTTACTTTTTTGTTCATTTCTGCTTTAGTCAATGATATAAATTATACATTGCCCTCAGAGTTATTTTTCAAAAAATGCAATTTTTTTTTCTAGTAACTCCCCTTTAGCACATGGGGTCACCATGAATTGGAATCAGCTCACTGACAACAGGAATTAAAAAAATAAATGAATTAGTTATAAACTGGTAAAGCTTTGGTCATAAAGTTCATGAGAGTAATTATGAATAAAGTAGTCATCAGATACAATTTTGTTTTGTGTAGAGGAGTATTTTGTGTTTTAGATATATTTGTACTAGAAGGAAGACTGTATTTCTTAAAAAATTGTGGAAATTTGCTGTTACTTGAAAAAGAAACAAGTTTTAAAAAACTTAAAAGCAATTGTTTCAATCACTACTGCTTTTTTAAGTTAGGAAAATATCCACATTCATCAATTCATAGAAAATTCTTTCAGACCTAGACTTGATCTCCCACTGCTCATTCCGCAACCCACCCTTAGCACACAGAAGGGCTCTATCCTTACCTTTGTACACATCCCCCATAGCGCAAAATATTGTTCATCCCAACCTATAGTTCTTTCTGATATAGTTGAAACTACTTCAGCTTGTACATCAGTTCTTCCTAGAAATATTCTTTAGCTTCCCCAAGAAATTAGTCAATTCCACCTACCTATACTATAAGCAGTTATATTTTCACACATCTGTCTTTTCTGAGTCTTTCTACTTCTCAAAAAATCTAAGAATTCTTCTTTTTATAATCTCATTGCCTATCCTTATACCTCACATTCAGTAGGCACACTCATGTAAAATGAACAAACATTTTATTTTCCCCTTTGTTGTTGTTGTTGTTATTTGCCATCGAGTCGGCCCCGACTCATAGCGACCCCTCCTTGGGTTTCCGAGGCAGTATCACTACGGAAGTAGGATTGCCCAACCTTCCTTCCGAGGAGTGGCTGGTGGGTTTGAACCGCCAGCCTTCTGGTTAGCAGTCAAGTGCTTTAGCCACTATGCTACCAGAGCTCCTCTTAAATAACAAAATTTCTAATACATTTAATGACTTAGCATTGTCATTAAAACTTTTCAGTAATATGTAATACATAAAACACACTGTAATATACTGTATTGATTATGTGGTGATAAATCATTGCATGGGTTTATGATATTTCACAGTCAAGTTTGAGTTTAACCCTGAGTTGGGAACTTCTGATTTTCTGCACTCAAGTTTTAAGTTTGTAACATCTCTTTGTCTCTGTGACCTAACCATGATAGGAAAATTGAGTGAAAGACTTCATATAATGAGTAAATTTCTAAGTTACTAGGAAATCTTATAGTTTTGTTTATTTAGAACAGTACTTCTTAACTTCCTTTGGGTTTTGCACCATTTGAGAATTTGATGAAAGCTGTATATTTTTCCCCTGAAAAAAATAGACATGTAGTCAATTTTAAATAAAATTTAAGGAGATTGAAAAAAGACAACCTTCATCATTCCCCACCTCACCAAGGCTATTTGTGGTTACCTTAGGACTCCACAGGTTTCAGGTTAAAAACCTCTGTTTGAGAGTATGTAGTATTTAGCACTTCAGGTTAATAAGCAAACTGTTAGTGATGGGCATTGTGTTAAGCACCAGTGGTATAAACATAACATTCTTGCTTCTAAGGATCTTGCAGTCTAATTTGACAGCCCTTATCTGGTAAATTATGATCTGAACTTTACCTTCCCAACAAAGTATAAGTCATATTTTTTAAGATCTAAAGACATCCTCTAGTAGCATAGTGGCTAAGGCACTTGACTGCTAACCAGAAGGCTGCCAGCCACTCCTCGGAAGGAAGATGGGGCAATCTACTTCCGTAGTGATACTGCCTCGGAAACCCAAGGAGGGTTCACTATGAGTCAGGTGTGACTCGACGGTACATAACAACAACAACAACAAAGACATCCATCTTTTTTTAAAAAAAAAAAATAACTTTTTATTGTGATTTGGGTGAAAATGTACAGAGCAAATTCATACACACTTTGTTTGGTGATATTCATTACAATCCTCACAATGTAACACTTTCTCCCTAGGTTTCTCATTTCCCTTCATCCTCTACTATCATTTCCTGCCTTCTGAGCTTTTTTTAAAAAAAAAAACAAAAAACTCATGCTGTCAAGTTGATCCCAACTCATAGGGATCCCTTCTTGGGTTTCTGAGCCAGTATCTCTACAGAAGTAGATTACCCAGTCTTGCTAACAAGGAGTGGCTGGTGGATTTGAACGGCCAATCTTCCAGTTAACAGTCAAAAAATGCCTTAGGCACTACTCCACACTTTATTCCGGGGCAAATGCTACCCTGTTGGTCTTGTGTGGTTGATTTTTTTGCTAAGGAATGTATACCTACCTAGTGTTACTGTTCAACTTACAGGACTGTCTGTTGTTTGGCTGAAAATTGAGCCATGGAAGTGAGTTCATTTCCAAGCTTGAAAGATGTCTAAAGGCCAGAGTCTTGAGGGTTCCACCAGTCTCTGTCAGACCACTAAGCCTGGTCTTTTTTTTTTATGATTTTGAGTTTTGTTCCACAGTTTTCTCCCATTCTACTCAGGACTTTATATTGTGATCTTTCAGAAAAGTCAGCAGTGGTCTCATGGTCTGGGGGCTGGGGTTTGTGTGGTCCATTAGTCCTTTGGGCTTATTGTTTCCTTGCATCTTTGATTTTCTTAACTGTTCTTTGCTCCAGAGGGGGAGAGATCAGTAGTTACACCTTAGATTGCCACTCCAAGGTTTTAAGACCCAAACTGCTACTTACCAAAGTAAGATGTAAAGCATTGTTTTTGTAGACTGTTTTGTGCCAGTTGTGATGCTCCCAAAATTATGGTCCTGAGCCTCTATAGCCAGTGACACATTCCCTAAAGGTCTTTGGTTATGGCTAAGAAAGTTTTATAACTTTTGCCTGTATGCACTACTATATTTGTGGATATTTTTATAGCATATATAAATATATAGAGAGAGAAATACACTCTGTCAAACCTATAAATATTCATGAGTGTAGTCCCATTCATCTTCCCACACCTGTTCAGCTTGTGTGTCTATGTATCCACTTGTTGTTGTTTTTGTTAGGTGCTGTCAAGTCATCTCCAACTCATAGGGACCCTGTGTACAACAGAACGAAACACTACCCAGTCCTGTGTGAGCCTCACAATCCTTGCTATACCTGAGCCCATCGTTGCAGCCACTGTATCAATCCATCTTGTTAAGGACTTTCCCTGCTTTTGTTGACCCTCCACTTTACCAAGCTTGATATCCTTCTACAGGGACTGGTCCCTTCTGACAACATGACCAAAGTAGGTGAGACAAAGTCTGGCCATTCTTGCTTCCCAGGAGCATTCCAGCTGTACTTCTTCCAGGACAGATTTGTTTGTTCTTTTAGCGGTCCATGGTACTTTCAGTATTCTTCACCAACACCACAGCTCCAAAACATCATCTCTTCTTGGGTGTTCCCTGTTCATTGTCCAGTTTTCACATGTATATGAGGCAATTGAAAATACCATGGCTTGGGTTAGGCGCATCTTAGTCTTCAAAGAGATATCTCTGCTCTTTAGCATTTGAAAGAAGTCTTTTGCAACAGATTTGCCCAGTGCTATACATCATCTGATGTCTCCACCACTGCTTGTATTGGTGTTAACTGTAGAATCAAGTAATATGAATTCTTTGACAACTTCAGTCTTCTCTCCATTTATTAGGATGCTGCTTATTGGTCCAGTTGTAAGGATTTTTGTTTTCTTTATACTGAGATGTAATCCATACTGCAGACTGAAGTCTTCAGTCTTCATCAGTAAGTGTTTCAAGTCATCCTCACTTTCACTGAGCAAAGTTGTGTTGTCTGTATATAACAGGTTGTTAATGAGCATTCCTCCAATCGTGATGCCATGTTCTTATTCATATAGTCCAGCTTCTCGGATTATTTGTTCAGCATACAGATTGAATAAGTATGGTGAAAGGATACAACCTTGACACACTCCCTTCCTGATTTTAAACCATGCAGTATCCCCTTTTTCTGTTCAAATGACAGCCTACTGGTCTATGTATAGGTTCCTCATGAGTACAATCGAGTGTTCTGGAATTCCCATTCTTCTCCATGTTACCCATAATTTGTTATGATCTATACAATTGAATGCTTTTGCATATTCAATAAAACACAAGTAAACATCTTTCTGGTATTCTTTGCTTTTAGCCAAGATCCATCTGATATCAGCAGTGATATCCCTTATTCCACGTCCTCTTTTGAATACTGCTGCAACCATTTTTTAATTATCTTCAGCAAAATTTTACTTGCCTGTGATATTAATGGGAGCTCTGGTGGTTCAGTGCCTAAGGCATTTCGCTGCTAACCAAGAAGGCTGGTGATTCAAACCCACTAAGCACTCCTCAGAAGGAAGATTGGGCAATCTACTTCCGTAGTAATACTGCCTTGGAAACCTAAGGAGGGGTCACTATGAATCAGATCCAACTTGACAGCAGTGTGAGTTTGGGTTTTTTGGTTTGGTGATATTAATGATATTGTTCGATAATTCTACATTCTGTGGAATCACCTTTCTTGGGAATGGGTACAAATATGGATCTCTT